GAGCTTTACAAGGTCAGCTCCTTCTCACTTAGATCAAATGTCACCTGCTCTGAAAGCCTTCCTAAACACCTGTGGAAAGTAATCCCTCCTCCCCTCGGTCCTTCTCTGTATTTTTATCTTCGTAGTACTTATAACTTCTGAAATTACCTTTTTCTTTACTTTTTAATTGTCCATGTCCTTCTGTAAGAAAGTGAACTTCATAAGAGTAAGCTCCTCACCCATTATGTTCTCACTGCTTCATCCCAAGTTCAGAGTGGCACAGAGTGATATCTGAATATATACTGGTTGAATTAATTTTTCTCAACACTGCAGAGGAAAGCTACTGCTCTTGAAAGTTGAATTAAACCTTCCCAGTCTCTCTCAAGAACCCAGGCACAAAATACTTCCCAGTTTGCCAGTTGCCTGGATTGTGTCTTCTAAAAATTTCAGCAAGTTTTAAGAATAATCAAATACTAAAATATATATTTAGGCAAGTATATTCCTTAAATAATTCATCCTTTATGAAGGGATAAATAGCTATGAAAGATATATAGAAACCCATGTAATCATTAATTTTTCTTTAGGTATAAAAGACTTTATGAATTAACTATGGAGCTTAAGGAATTTGTTCCTCAGAGAATATAATCACTATTTTTTTTTTTTTGCCATCTTGCTAGAATTGATCACAGATGATACAAAGCTCACCTGCAGCAGGCTGTCCCCAAAGTCCTTACATGCCAAATGAATGAGACTTTTCTATGCAAAAATGACTATAATAAAGAAAGTGTTTAATTGGTCAGAAGTGATTATGTTCTTTGATGACTTGGGACTTTAAAATTTATTTTTTAAGTGATATTGGAAAAATAAACAATTCAGTGGAAAAATAGGCAGAGAATGTGGATATTCTCAGAAGAAATCCAAATGGCCACAGGCTTATGACAGCATACTGTTTTACTAAATAATCTAAGAAAAACAAGTTAACATTTGACTATCATTTTTGCTTAGTCGATTTGCAAAAATTAAAAATATCAATGATAAACAACCCATGTTAGCAATGATGTGGGACAATGAGCACTCAGCTACAAGGTTGGAGGGAATCTGTGGAGGCATGGTCTTTTTGGAGGATAATTTGGCAGTGTCTATTAAAGTTTTAAGTCTGCATGTCTTTAACCCAATAAGTGGACTTCTACGACATTTCAAACATGTTGGCCACGTGCGCAAAAAAGAATCTTTGTGCAGCACTGTTTGTAGTTAAAAAATTAGGAATGTTCACCAACAGGGGTATGGTTAATAAATACTGGTATCTTAGAACAAATACAGACTAGGAAGCTTTAAAAGAAATGAGGTAATTCCTCTATTAGCACAGACGGGTGCTCATGATCTACTCTATCATTAGAAACAACCCAGCACTATTCAAATTGTATTGATATATATTTTTTAAGGTGGGTGGAAGGGCTGAGGGAGAATCCCAAGCAGGCTCCAGGCCCAGTGTGGAGCCCAGTACAGGGCTCGATCTCACAACCCTGAGATCATGACCTGAACTGAAATCAAGGGTCAGACACTTAACCGACTGGGCCACCCAGGTGCCCCATATATTGATATATGTTTTTAAAATATGTTTTTTTTCATACATAAGCCGATAGCTGTCAAAGTTATGCTTTTTTTTTTTTTAAGATTTTATTTATTTGACAGAGAGAGACATAGCGAGAGCAGGAACACAAGCAGGGGGAGTGGGAGAGGGAGAAGCAGGCTCCCCGCAGAGCAGGGAGCCTGATGCGGGACTCGATCCCAGGACCCTGGGATCATGACCTGAGCTGAAGGCAGATGCTTAACGACTGAGCCACCCAGGCGCCCTCAAAGTTATTCTTTTAAGGCCTAAGTCAAAAACCCTGTTGCCCCTCTACTCAAACTTTTCACTGGCTTTGTTTCTCACTCATATTCAGAGTCAAGAGTCCTCACCCGGCTTGCCATTCCTATGTGATCTGGCCCCTGGCTACTGCTCTGACCTCCTCCCTCTCCCCTCTTCTGCAGCTATCCTTCTGGCCTTCTTCCCCTTGCCTCAGGGTTTTGGGTACTTGCTGCATCCTTCAGCTAGGACTCTGTCCAAATGACTCTGCAACAACCACAGTCTCCGACTATAGTCTACATTTCCGGGGGGGGTGGGGCGCGGGGAGTATGTTCCTCCTCAGCCATCCCCCTCCCCTGCCATATTCTATTCCCCTGCCCTGCTTACCCTTCACATACCCTTACCACCACTGACTACACGATATACTTCCTTCTTTATTGGTTTGTGATCTGGCTCCCTCCTCCTAAGATTTTTACCTTTTTATTTCATTACTGCATTCCCAGCACCTGGAATAGTACCTAGCACACCGTAGGTGCTCAATAAATATTTGTTGAATGGAAATAAAATTTCATTTTTATATGTGCATGAAAACCGATGTAGAAAAATACATAGCAACCCACTGATTCTTCCCAAAAGAGTAAGATAACTTTTACCCTTACTATATACGTTTCTGTACCACTGGAAACGTACACTATTTCGGTACCTGGAAATGAAGTAAAAAATATTTTAAAGGAAAAATGTAATGGTTCCATCTGCCCTTCCAGCAACTCCAAATGCTTTTGGGGGCTCCTTTTGACTGACACTGAAAATAATTTTCAAAAAGAACTATCCTAGGCATGTCTCCACTGTATGTACCACCCAGAACTCAAAAAATACCAGTAAACTTGGTCTTTATGAAGTTCTAAGACCAGCAAATAGTCCAGGAATATAAGGAACATGACACACTCTCCGCTCCAGCACACTCACTCCCTAGCCCACACCATGTGTCCTCTGGGTAAAAAGCCTTTCTTTCTTTTTCTTTCTTTCTCTCTCTCTCTTTCTTTCTTTCTCTGTGTAGAATGCAACTTTCTTCTTCTTTTTTTTTTAATTTAAATGCAATTAGCCAACATATAGTACATCACTAATTTTTGATGTAGTGTTCAATGATTCATTAGTTGCGTATAACACCCAGTGCACATCACATCACGTGCCTTCCTTAACGCACATCACCCAGTTACCCCATCTTTCTAATTAACACATACAACCCCTCCTTATACACACTTCCTCCCTTCAGCAGGAGGAAGAAATTTCACTGGTAATTCTTTGTGCTCTTTTCTCTACAGGGTAAAATCTTCAACATTGCTATCAGACAGGGTGAACCTGATTTGGTTCCATGTAGGCTTACAAAAGTCATCCATTGCTAGAGGGAGCTCTTGAGACAAGACACATTGCCTCTCAGCAACAAATCCAACCTAACTTAGCATGACAAGCATCTCAGGACACATTTACACACACAACAGCCACAGCGTCTTTCATAAGCTGTCATGGTCATGAGGCCTCTGTTAAGTAACTCCTGATCCTCATTCCTGGGCCTTTTTCCCAGGAGCACAGTCATGGTAGTATTGGTAATACTCTAGTTTTGCCTGATTTCTTAACAGGCCACAGAGACTCCCTGGCAAGGCTGCAAGGCCTCTCCCTAACAGGATAGCAAATGGGGAAAGGGGCCGCAGTTTAGCTCTGAGAGGCCAGCAGGAAGACTGGCCTGCCTGTCCCTGACAGTTTCTGCAACTCACCCCCTAAAGTAGGTCAGCAACAGCCAACTCTCATCACCATTTTGGTATGGAGACTGGAAGTCTTAGAATTTTAAATGAGAACAAACCAACCAGCTGGATTGTTTCTAACTTTTTCTTTTTTTTTCTTTTTAAGGGAGTCAGCTAGAATAAAAGTCAAGACTATTTGAGAACCAGCCCCTGGTGGACAATTACACTTGATTTTACACTTGATTTTTACTACGTTTTGGCAAAACAATAGATTTGGGCTGGGGGATTATTGCTGACAATTCTCCTCAATGAGTGCCTTGGGCTCAGTTTTGCTTCTTCAGAAACACTGGCTTATTACTCCTTAGCTCAAACCTCACTTCTAGGGCCTTCTAATGATGCTTGAGAAAGGACATCAATTTATTCTGGAGGGGTCTGGTTATCGAAACACACCTTACTTGGGACCAGAGCACAGGCTTTGGAGTCAGACCGTCAATGTGATCTAGAGCAAAAGAACCTAGCCCTCTGTGCTCTGCTTTGTTCATCTGTTGGGTGGAGATAATAACTGCAAGCTGGTAAGATGACCATTCAGGTTGAATGGGATAATGCAGATACCGTCTTAATGTTGTACTTGTGTCAGAGGAAAACTCAAGAAAGCATTACCATGATTTTTATAAAGTGAGACTATAAAGGGATTACCTACAAAGGCAGAATCTCCCATAAATGCCCAGAACAGTTTCACCCAACAAACAAATCTCAAGACCGACCACCCTAGAACCTCTTGCCCAGGTCCCTCTTGCCTAGAACTTCATGAGTTGGTGTTGTTCAAAGGCCGGGTGTCAAAACTTAATTCTGAAACACACACACACACACACACACAGACTGTATATGGAACTGTCACTACTAGGAGTCTTGGGCTGAAGCCCAGGGATCTCATAAGGCTGCCAAGTGGGCCCCCAGACTTGCCTCTGCATGAAACTATGGACAGGAGACTTCATTTCCAGGTACTGCCATCAGCTGGGCCAGAGGGAGATGACAGGAACTGACAGCGGGGCGTGCAGGAGGCTCAGGGGTGCCTCCCACCTACAGTCCTGTCCCTGCCCGGGGCCACAGTGCTCTAAAGACCACCGTCCATCAGACCCTTTAAGGTCAGCACTCCCTCTTCTCATCACCTTACTCTTCCTCTCCATTCTTCAATTTGGCAAACATTTATTAAGTGCCCGCCACAAGCCAGACACTATGCCAGGCGCCGGAGAGCTCTTGGTCCAGCAGACACAACAGGCCCCAACATGTAGTTCCCAAATGACAGTGGGTGTCCACGGTGTTCTCTGGAGTGAGCCCAGACAGAGAGAACGGGCCACACTTTTGGTGACCCCGAGTCTTTACAGAGCTCAAGACAATTCCGTTAGCAAGAATGTCCCAGCCAGCAGGTCACTCACCACATTGGTTTCCTGCGTGGCCCTGGCCCACTCCACAGGCCTGCACTCGGTGTTCAGATGTGCTGGGAGACGTCTTTGCTCCTTCCAGGTCCATGCCCGAGAGCTGGAGGTAAAACTGCTCCCTGTTGGCAGCCTTCCGGAGCGCGCGGATGGCTTTCCGGAGCCGCTTCTCTGTTCGCTTGACGATGCAGCTCAGGTCACAAGAAGCTACCGAAACAAGAGGGATCGCCATGGGGGAGGAGGTCATGCTGCAGCATGGGAGGGTGTCCAGGGTGGTGAGGGACCCACCAACACCCACAGTTCCCTGGGGACAGACCAGTTCCCTGGGCACCTCACAGGCTGGGCAGCATTTGACTCAAACAGAAATTGGTTGGCCAAAATGGAATCTTTGAGTTTTTATGAAACAGATAAAACCATGAGGTTCCAAACCAATTCAGTTTAGTTTGGGAGTGAAAAAACAAAAAAACAGGAGATACTTCGGTGGTTGCATCATCTTCTCCCCCCACCAAGAATGACGAAAAGTGAAAGGCAAAGGAATAAGGAGCAAGCTGTGAGAAGCCTGGCACCACAGACTGTTTTCAAACCAACCTGTCACCTCCTTTTGGTTAGTTTCAAGTTCAAACTCAACAGAGATAAACATTTCCTTAGTGGCGCTGGGGCGGCCAGGGGCTCCCGGGACTTGCTTGCTGGAGCTGCATGTAAGGTTTGCGTAGCGGAAGCTCTCTTTTACTGAGCTGTGCTTCTCTGTATGAAAAACAAAATTATCGGAAGCCAGATCCTGGCAAAGCACTCCGTTGAACATTCGCTAGAGCTCAGTAAACATTTCATTAGAACAACTCTCAAGGGACGAAGTGATTAACTCCAGATGCCAGGACGCTGCAAGCCTCAGCTTGGAGCACGATGACATTTTAATTTTGAAGAGCCTCCTATATAACTTAACAATTTAGCTCTTGAAAATTATTTTCATGGATGAATGCTGGATGTGTGCCACATGTGTGGAAGACAGGGAAGACAGGAACCAGGGTCACCTTGCAGTCCTAACTGCCGGCCTGCTAAGGTGTGCTCCGTGTTCTCACAGTTGGTTTCCTTAGAGCTGGACTGTGATGTACCAAGCAGGGGCTGAGGCTTCAAAGAGGGAATGAGCACAGGAGTGGAAAGGAAACCAACTCCTGCTTTCAGGCAAACTGAGCTTGGAGTAATTGCAACCCAGAGGGGAAGCTGGAAGGCGCATTAACAGCGATGTCTCATTTTGAAATAACCAGCAGCAATGCACGGCACAAAGCATCCAGAGAACCAAACAGTATCATGAAGGCATCTAGGGTGGGAGGAAGTGTTGCGCAAGGCAGGGCTCTGCACATCCCCGTTCCGGACTCTCTTAGATAGAACCGAGAGTTCCCATATATTCTTTGTTAAGTTCCCCTAATGCTAACACCTTACACTATCCTGTATATTTATCAACACTGAGAAATTAACATAGTACAATACCATTAAGAAGACTAAAGACCAAGACTATTTTTAAATAATGCTTTTTCCCTCTATCTAAAAGCATGAATGATGGGCGTCTGGGTGATTCAGTTGGTTGAGCAGCTGACTCTTGATTTCGGCTTGATCATGAGGTCATGATCTCGGGGTCATGGGATAGAGGCCTGCACTGGGCTCCACGCTCAGTGGGGTGTCTGCTTGAGACTCTCTCTGTCTCCCGCTCTGCCCCTCTCCCCTCAAACAAATAAATAAACCAATCTTTAAAATAAATAAATAAATAAAGTATAAATGCTCACTGTGGAGAATTTGGAAAATGCAGAAGAAAAAAATGAAAATTTCCTGTCATCCCCCCCACAATGAGATATAACTACTACTAATGATATGATGAGTTTCCTTTCTTTTTCTTCTACTCATACTTTTTCTTACACAGTCTGGGTTGTATTCGATATATGAAATCTTACTCTCCCCTCTCCATCTTAGCATTATAAGAACATTTTCCTATGTCACTAAACATTCTTTAAAAACACATAATTAATAGCTGCATAATATTCCATCAAATGGAGGTACCAAAATTAACCTCAATTTCTTAAAATATGCAGCCAAAAGTGACTACAGTGAACTTCATGTTTATTTGTATGATTTATGTGATGGCAAACTGGGGAAAGAAGCATCCCTAATACATGAGTCATGATTTTTTTTAATCTCTAAAATTATTTTATGAAATAATACAGGAAGTGTGAGCCGGGGAGGGGAGGGAAGGAGGGGGTATTGGGAGGAGGTATTGGGTCCTGCTCTTCTCTACCAGGCCAGTTCTATTTGGATGGTGTTTGTTCTGCTGAAGCCAATGGAGTCACTGCCTCCAAAGACTGGATCCAACAGGAAAGCTGGATATTACATCTTTATTCATCAGAGATTATCCTGAACCAACCCTTTCTCATTTCTTTGGCTTATATTCCAAGCAAAGTCTGAGATCTAGAAAATTTAACCCAATATAATTGCAAACTGCCAATGCATCTTAAAGCCCTTACTGATACCCGTGAACTCACAGGTTTCTCCAGAGCTCACCATGTGTGCCTGGCAAAGGAAGCCCTGCGTATAACTCCAGAGCTATACAGGGGTGCTAGGCTAGGCTCCTCTTCCCCCTGTGGAGAGAGTCCTTGGAGATTCTGGACTGTTCGATCCCATCTGAAGGGCTCAGCATGTTACAGGCCCCTTTCCCAACATGCAAGCAAGCTCCCTGCACCAGCCATCTGATTTCATACCTGGTAGTGCTGGTCGCAGACCCTCGGAAAACAGCTCAGCCTTTTTCAAACTACACTTGCCTTCATTTAGTTTAAAGGTTACACTTGTCCTGACGGTGGCGACATCTTCAGAAAGAAACAAGTGAGAGATGTTACCTTCAGAGGCAAAGGAATGGAAAGACCTGGTGGGTAATGGCGAGCTGTCCTGAGGCTGGGTCCCACCACATGCTGCACACCCTGAGCCCGTCTCTTACCCTGAGTCCACAAAAGATCTGGCTCATGGAGTAACCATGATCCTGAGGCTGGGGATGCCAGGAGCCTCCTAAGAGTAACACCTATCCCTCTAGCTGAGATTAATCCAATGCTCAAATATAATAAAGAGAGGGCCCCAAACAACCTCAACGCCGAGATGAACTATGAGGTCACCTTTGTGACTTCCTGAGAAAGAAGACCAGAATCTCCTAGTTCTAATTTGGACACGACTGCTGGGGGCAATGGTGAAGGGCAGATTCTCCTGGAAAAGCCCTTCCTGGGAGGACAAGGTTGGGGGAGCAGAAGAGGATGGCACTCTCCAAACGCGGCTAGGATGTTTGGGCTCTGGGGGCAGCAAAGGTCCCACTTTGAGGGCCTCATGTGCAAAACTCTGCTCTCCCCCCACAATCAGTCTTAACCATATGTCAAGCTCTGGAGCCAAAGCCCAGGATTCATACTCTAGCTCTTTGACTTGTGATGAGAACTTAAGCAAGTTACTAAAACTCCCTAAGCCTCAGTTTCCTCACCTGTAAAATAGGCAAAATTGGGGTACTTACATTAAGGTACCTACATTAGGTAGGTGAGGATTAAATGAGATGATACAAAAAAATAAATAAAAAGTTTAGCCTACTGTCTGGCACACAGTAAGAACTGAATAACTATTAACTATCAGCTTGCCCATCCTGGTTAAAACCCCAACTCCACTATTTCCTATCTGAGTCTGGGTACATTATTTCACCTCTCTGAACCTCGGGCTCTTCATCTGATTAATGAGAAGAATAGTAAAATTTCCCTGAGCACTGCAGTGTGGATTAAATCAGCTCAGACATGTAATACAGTGGCTGGTATATTTAACCACTCAGTCAATATATTCGAGTATTATTGTCCTGCTTTGGGTCGCTAGCTCTGCTCATATATGTAATATGGACATCAAGAACCATTTCCTCATTCAGACGTTCTCAGGATGTAATCACAGAGATGTCTAAATCTGGGAGGAAAAGGTTACTTAAAATCTTTACATTTCATCCTTTGTCTTCTGACAAACTAGAAAGGGTTGGGGCCTCTTTCTCTGGACAGAATCTTTGCCCCCTGTCATGCCTATGTCTATCTCCACCAACGTCATGTGCACCAGGCACACACTGCCTGGTGGGCCTTTGAGGTACAGGGAGTTTGGGAGACCCGAGTCTCCTGATCCCAGAGCTCTGTGGTCCTCTGCCCAATATGATGACCCGCCAGGGCTGAACACGGACGGAGCCTCCGAGCACACAGTGGACCTCGGTAAAGATCTGTTACATGGTGAGTTGGTTTTCAGGCACCAAGGCTGTGGGCAAGAACAGACTGCAATGTGCTCGCAGCACTGAGGAGATTAAGAGAAGAGAAAATAAAGCCAACGCTCAAGAATAGCACCCCAAGAATGAAGTCCATTTATCACAGTGAACCCCAGAGAGAACACGCAGATTTGGTAATTACCCCCGCAAGTGGAGTCATTGGATTTTTGCTGTTTGCTCTTGAGAGAAGAGGAAGAGCCGCAGGTGACAGAGTAGGCCTCTTGCAGTCCTGATGGACAGAATGTGGGTTGTCAACATGTAAGCAAGGTTACAGTCCCTCCTGCTAGCAGCTAAACTCACTCCCCACCCCCCTTTCCACAGAAACCACTAAACAAATGCCCAGCATATGGGGCGTCAAAGCATGGGCCGCCGGTGGTCAAGGGCCGCTGGTCAAAGACCTGGGAAGCCTTTGAGGGCACCTAACACCTAACGGCCAGGAAGGCCTGGCCCTGGCACGAGGACTTGCCCCAGGGACTGGGACCCACTCACCTGAAGAGAGGTGAATGCCCGAGTGACATCTGAGGAAGCACCTGTCTCCTCCACCACTCTTACCGCAAAGCAGGGACACATGGGGTGACACACTAGTGGGCAGGACCCCCTTCACTTCTGGACAGGACAAAAAGCAGACACTTACAGCAAGAGCAGGACGCTTCCAGGTGAGTCCCAATCATCCCAGGCCCCAGGAAAAGAAGGTAGGGCTGATATCCAGCACAGAGCACAAGACACAGGGCACTATTTCCCTCCAAAGTAAAGAAGCTACGTGTGTGCTGGTTTTGGTTTTTTTTCCCCATGCGGGAAAACAGAAGGGAATTCCGACCTACACAGAAGCACAGAAGGACACACCGAAGAGCCTGTAAAGTATCTCCTGTTTTTGAACTATTTCAAGAATGGCTGCTGCCGCCGAGGGGACAAGCGTCAGGGACGGGAGGAGGGCGGGCGCCCCCCGGCCCCGTGGGGACAGGGCCGCCGTGCCAGTGCGAGCCCGCTGACTGTGGGACACGGCACCCCTTACCCACACAGTCTTTCTGATTCCAGTGGAGCTTGTATGCAGAGTGGCACTGGCATTCGTAGCTGCCCACTGTGTTCACACAGACCTGCCGACAGCCCCCATTGTTGACACTGCACTCGTTGGTGTCTGCAGAACAAAACACTCTCCTGTCACAGCAGCCCGCTGGCGACCAGGCTGACGCCGTCCCTCCCCTGAGGAAGCAGCAGGGAAGCCACAGGGTTGAAACTCACTAAACCAAGGGAAGGTGCTAACCGCCTTCGGGATGTGCACTGGGCACCGGCTGACCCCACTCCCCACTCCGTGGGTTTCCTGGCAGAAGCTCCGCCAGGATGGTCTCAAGTTCCGTTCTGGACCAAACCTTTCCCCCATTAAGGATACTCAGAAGGGGGCACGCTCTACTTTCGCGGGTCCAAACGCAAACACCGCACAGGCCTCCGATGTGGAATTCTACCATCCCCCTGGGCTACACGCCAAGGGAGACAGAGTTAGGATTCCTCACTGGACAGTTCATATTCAGTAGCTGAAGTATAGAGAAGGAAAATGACTTGCACTAATCCGCATCCACCCAAGACTGAGTCCAGGCTGGAAGGCAGCTCCACCTAAAACCCAGACACACATCCGTATTCAGGGCATATATCCTTGGGGTTTCTTGATGGACTGGAAGAGGATGTATTTAGCCATGCCAAGGATGTATTGAAACAGAGAAGAGAGACAATGCTATCTATACCAAACCACTACTCTCCGTTCTTCTTAAGCACAGGACACAAGAATTGGGCAGGAAGTATTTAAGCCCATGGTTCCCAAACACTCAGATACTCGGTATCACCCTGGAAGCCCTAGCCATTCTGAATCAGAATCTGAATCTGTATTCTCAAAGACTGTTCAACGAACCTGATGATCAGGGGGAGCAGGGTGGGAGTCATTTGATGTCAAATCTGATTTATGCCATAGTCGACATGAGCATTAGGACAAATGACATCAGAAGACGGGGCTACACGGGCGCAGCCCAGAGAGATAGAGCGAGCCGATGGTCCACTTCCAGCTCAAAGACCTGCTCGAAGACCAGCTCAGATCTTGAAACAGGCTTCTCACCTCAGCTAGTTCCTGGGAACAGCAAGGCTATGGAAATGGTTGGTGCCCTGCCCAGTCTCTCTGAGGACTGTGACTTTATGATCCACTGGGAAGTTCCAACAGACAGGGTATCAGCTCCTGAGAGACCCTCCCACTGTCTGAATACACTACATCAGTAAAGTCAATAGAAAGTTCACAGTTGATTAGCTCAGTTCCTCTCTCTGCTCCATAACGTAACATGTTAAAGGGATCAATGTGAATAGATTTCCCTTAGCAGATGCTTCCCTTGAGTCGATGAACTCACTACTATACACAAAATGTCCCTTTCGTTCCCCCAATATTGGAAACTTGACCCTGACCTGGGGAAACTGGGGGACGTAGGTCCGGCTCCCCTGCAGGCCCAACCTCCCCTGCCTCTCAAGGGGCCTTCTGCTCACCTCCGCAGTGGGTGAAGCCATAGAGGGTGTACCCTTTGTTGCAAGCACATGTGAATGTGCCGGGGTGGTTGATGCAGTTGTGGTCACAGGTCCTATCCAAAGAGCATTCATCCACATCTGTAATTGTCAAAGGGAGAGGGGAGCTGAAACCAACTCTGAGGGGTGAGTGGAAAGAACAGGTTTATAACTCCACTCATTGACCGACAATAAAACCAACAGAAACAGAATTTAAAAAGTATCTATCAGTTCACCTGCTCACTTGTGTCAAAGAAAATGTTGAGCAGCCTACCATAAGTATACTCACAACCAGAATCCTTATTTCTAAATTCTGTTGCAAATTGCACTTGCCTTTAAGCTCCGTTGGTCTCTCTCCCATGCTTATTCGCAGGACTGAGTAATTTAAAATATTTAAGTGAAGCCAAATGAGATAACGTAGCTTAAAAGGGTTTGCAAACGATAAGGTGCAACCCATGCGTTACTGTTGTTATATTCCTACTGGTAAGACAACAGTACTAATTATATAAGCTATAGCAAATGGAAAGGAGAAAACAGTTGGGTTGGAAATAAATCTGGTTCCTATCTTTCCAGAATTAGTCTTCTGGCCCCAGGAGGTCAATTGGGTTTTAATGTCCTCTGCACTAAAAGAATGCATGAACGCTAACAACCTCAGTGATTTTCTATTGCAGACACTAAAATTTGGTGGTTAAGCTCCAAACTGGATCCTCTTGGCCAATCCCTTGGCTTTGTTCTTCTGCCATGGTTCAGCCCCACAGGGCCCCTCCTGTCCTGGTCTAACGTGGAGGCATCACTGGCTTCAGCCAAGGTCCTGGAAACTAGCCTCAGGAGGCTGCCTTTGTCAATCTAATTATTTCTCCTGCCCTGGTCTGGTCCTTATCTTTCCTGTAGAGTAGAATTTCAGTGCTTCACTTCCTCAACTCCTTGGAGGGTTTTAACAGAGTTACGACTTGTGTCTCCAAATGGATAAGCCAGGACCAGTGCAGAACTCAGTGGAAGCCAACTAGCCCAGAGCTAGATCTCTTTTTCAACATCAAATGTGCCATAAGAAACTATGTTAATAAAAAACAAACATTTGGAAGGAACTAGAGGAATGAAGAAATGAAATTAAAAAGGGCAAATTCTTACAAAACCTCTTCATCGCTAGCTTTTCCCAGAACTCCTGGCAATTTCTTCAGTAAATTTGTTCTGTGAAAATATTTCTTCTACCAAGACCAATCCGTGAAAAATAAGAAAAAGTCCATTTCTTCCCTAGTAATTGATGTCACTCTATGAATTCTGTTATTAACATCAGCCAGTTGTCGAGAAAGTTGGACTTGTTCAGTAGCTGGCTTTGGCTGCACATCATGGGCTGTGGCTTTGCCAAAAATAATGAGATCACTTTTCTAATTCCTTTTTAATGTGTTTACACAGCTTAAATAGTATTTCTTGCTCTGTACATTATGAAACATTATGTGGAACATCAAATTTGCTTTCCAAGTCAAATGAAAGAAAGCCATGCAATAGTCATCCAGAAGGAACTTGCTGAATTTAAAGGGGGCTATACTTGAACTGCCTGACAAATTATGTATTAAGCGGAAAAAAAGGAGAGAGAAACCTAATTCACACACCATAAGATTTTTAAAAAAGGTAATGTTACATTTTTATTACCTGAGGTGAAAGCAGATATTATTTTCTGATTTTGACTTAATTCTGGGATTTCTAACAAAGTAAGTTAGGCTGTTCTTATTCCCAGAAATGGAACAAGACTACATGACAGCACATCTTTCCTGACAGCGACTTCCTGTATATCCATAGGGCATAAAAGGTGCTCATCTGAAAATATAAATGATGGGCGCCTGGGTGGCTCAGTTGGTTAAGCGACTGCCTTCGGCTCAGGTCATGATCCTGGAGTCCCGGGATCGAG